AGTGCGCTAACCTGTTACACCACATAGATCACGTGATGCCTTCATAGTGTTTTCAGTGGTTTATTCACAGTACCTTGTATGGCACTCACACTCAAGACGTGGTGGGCCAATTAGCAACTTAGATCCAGGAACTGCGCAAAATTCATGTAAGAAAAAATGAGTTCGAAGGCGGCTGTCGGAAGCTATAGTGCCCATCAAATTTCTACACATCTCCAAAGCTATTGTTCGATCAAAAAAGGTAGAAAAAATGTGAAATTGGGCAATAAAATGGATGACGGATGTTTTCATAAGAAGACTTTATTCTGACTTTGTTTTGTTTGTCAACCGCTGTTTTAACGCCGCGACACGCCAGCATTTTTGCGTCGCAAAGTGAAAAAAAAAACGGTTGAATGTTTTACAAGAATGTTGGGTTACGAACAACGCTTTCGCTGTAGGCGGGACTCGAACCCGCACGTCTGCTTGCCGTGAACTGTGAAAGACTTCATTCTTTCGGCGCCTAGTGATTGTAGTTTCTCGGCGGATCATTTCCATGACAGTCGGCTTCCCTACTTCAGAGTCAGCATGCTCTTCGTAAGCTATTTGTCGTTCTTGGATATAGGACAAATTGGGGGAGGAGACCGGGGATGATCGTGAATACAGCAAGTGTCATAAAGTCTATGATTTTTACGTTTTTGACAAATCAGCCCTTTTTGATAAATCAAGTTTTCAGGTCGATGGCCAGTTCACTCGTAAAAGGCTCAGCGGTGAATTTTTCCCAGATGGAAAAGAAGCGCTAGAGCTGTATCCTATGGATATTCTTCTCTTGGGACACGACAAGAAGAAACTGAAAGATGTTGACGGTATACAGCAGACGTCGCCTTGGGCATGCGCTCAGGTAACACATAATCTCTTTGTTCTAGTGGTTATCAGTTCAAAATCTTCCAATAGCTCCCGTGAAGCTAAATGTAGTAGTTCAAGGTTTCTCGGAGTTGTACTGTGGACGAGCTCTTGCAGTTGTGTAGAAGCGAGTTGAGACTCGGCGATGGAGATGCAAGGTGAAAAGACCCTATTTATTTCTTGATTATCATTTCCTCATGAGATCTTGCAGGTTGTGGCTGGTTGGTGATGATGGAAATACACTTCTGGATGACGGAAAACGAACACTGCATCAGTTGACTGTGAAGGGGAAGCGTGTGAATAAGGTGGGTGATAATTCCGGAACAATTCATGGCTTGTCCTTTTGCCGTTGCCAGAGCATTGCTCACAGGCTTGAAAATGAGTAGGTTCCGTATGTAGGCTCTTCAATTAAATCGCTACAGCGTAAAACAGCGATAGTATGAGAAGTTACCGCCGATTAGGGGTGGCTGGTTTTTCAAGCTGCAAAAACTTCTTGTTGATCGATATTAATTAATAACTTGTTTGAAATGGAAAGTATCACTGAAGCTTTTTCCATCCAAGTGGTACTAAAGCAATCTTTTATGCTTTGTTGCCTGTGGTAACCTGTCTTGTACTGCCTCGTTAAGTGAAACGCTGTATAATAGAGGTAGCTGGGAGGTAGGGAAAAGCAAAAAAAGCGATCGTAGGCAACTGGCAACGGCATATTCCGAAGCGGTAGCGTTGAGATTAATATTTGATAGGGAACATTGGAGAACTTGAAGGAGAACTGGAGAATTTCGTAGTTCATCAGAATTAATTAGTTTTAATAACGCTGGCGTACGTTTTGCTTTTATTTCAGTTCCTGCTTGAACTAAGGGATGCGAACG